GCATCCCTACACAAACACTCTGCAGAGATGTGCTCCTTCAGTGTGCTCAGGGAACAAGGGTGAAGGAGAGAACCAGCAGCAGAAGGTGAGAGTCTATTACCTCAAGCAGTTTGGTGGCGATTGAAAAGTGTGGTGAGTCTATCACGTCGGAGCAGTCCAGGTTGTCATACACAGCAGCTGCAATGAGGACACAGTAAGTCTCAGGGGAAGCCATTTCTGCTACACTGGGGGGCTGTGCTGTTAGTGCAGCCCTTTGTCTGTGATCCAGTAGCTCTGGGAATGTGGCAAGGCACTCAGTTCTCTTTGGAAACTCACATTTGATCATTTTACTAAGGAAAGTGCTGATTTCACCCAGGGATCCTGGGACCTACAGGGCCCTCACAACTCCAGAACATCAGGCTAAAAGTAGCAGTCAAACTGACAGGATTATTAATTTTAATTAGTAGCTACTGGGGACATGGGGAAGTGGTATCTGACTCCAGAAAATGCATTTCTGAAAATATTTTTTTCTGTTTATCTGTCTTCTTGGAAATATAGACAACAGAAAGCAATGAGGGAAATCCCTAGTTTTTAGCAGCCAGTGTTACTCCAAAGAATCCAGCTGGCAGCACTGTGTGGGCCCTTTGTATCACAAAGTGAGTTCTTTTCTAAAATGTGAGAGCTTCTGGCATCCAGCTGGTGAGTGTCACACTGCGCCTGTCCATACCGAAACTGCACCAATGCAGGTGAGTGTCCCCCAGACTGTCCCCCAGACCTAGCCAGGAGGATAACTGCTATTATCACAACCACTCTGGCTTGTGTAGCACAACAGTCAGCACATGTCACATGGCATTGTACTCTCTGTTGTTTCAGTTTGTGTGATAAGGGCCTACTGACAATGGTGGTAAGCTGATGGTGTGACAGAAGGATAATAAGATGCTGTTTTTCAAAGCACTAGGCAGGGAGTCACAAATGAGAATTTCATGGTGCTTATCTGCCTGCCCTTACAGCTCTGCTCACCCATTTATACAGGGCACAGCAGCAGCACCTGATCTGTGCAGATGGGAGCAGGAAGCACCTAAAGGACGCACCTTGAGGCCTTTACCATCAAGCCTGAGGAATGGCAAGGACAGGCAATGCTGAGTTTACCTTCAAACTCTACATTCCCTAGGTGCAAGATTGCAGCCAGCAGCTTGCTGATGTCCCAGTGCTCAGAATCTGAGAACATGAGGATCTTCATAGCCGAGCGGATGTGGGCGTAATCCTTCGCGTCGTTCCGGCCATCGCAGGACATGCAGTTGCCCTGCAAGACACCACACCCACAGGTAAGGAAAATCCTCCCTGAACCCACACAGGAAAGAAAGGAACTTGCAGGCTAGGAAATCCTTGTACACAGCGTGGCTACCCTGTGAGTCACTTGCCACAAGACACGAAGTAGAAACCTATTTAGACATTCTATATCATCTGCCCGTGGTTGTTTCTTCCTTCATCTTTACTCTAAAGAAGAACCTGTTAGCAGAGGGCTAAACAATGCATTTCTCCAAGGCTGGACTGAATACTGGGGAAGCCAAAAGGAAAAGCTATGTGGAAAGCTGCTCTGGAGCATAGAAGGACAGGAAGCTTTGACAAGGTTACCATGCCTGTTTCTTTGGTTTCCTCTCTGCCTTGTCAATGGACAATTAAAAGCCCTCATCTCAAATCAAATCAAGTGGGATTGGATCAGGAGAAGGCAAATTTCAAAATACAAGTATTAAGTTCTAGTGGAAAGCAAATGGAAGCATCCAAGGCAGCATCAGAAGAGCCTTGAGCAAAGCCTGCACAGCAGGTCCTAGGATGCTGCTCCTGATAGAAACTATTTTCAGCCCTAATGGAGATGGGGAAATGCCCTTTTTTATCCTTGCTACTTCTGACAAGGGCCTATGTGTGGATTGCACTAATTGCACTCATCAGCTTTTGCTGCAAGATCACTGCCATTTTGAAACTGTTTTCATTACATTTGACAAAATCTCCAGCAACTTTAATAGTTTTGCTTTTGAGCCTCCAGAAACAGATTATAGACTTGATCTAATTTCCTTTGAAACTGGATGCTCAGCTCCCACTAATTTCAGTAGCAGCAGGAGTTAGCTCCATTTTTTCCACAGCTGCCACTGTGGCAACATAAACCCAGACAGGGATATAAACATCAGCTGTTGGAGGTTACATGGAATTCCAGCTGCCTGGATTATGTATGTAAGAGTTATTAGCCACAGGGACTAGGATTCTTGGCACTACTTCTGCTTATTCACTTTCCTCTAAGGTGTACACACCTGATTTGCATTCTTCCCAGCATGAGATCCCTTGCATTCCTCTGAAATCTGAGTGCCTGAGAAAGTGGGGGATATTTCTCATGTACTTTGAGATGTCCTTTATGTCTCTAAGCCTGACTTTAATAGGAAGCTTTGACCTGCCACAAGCTGCCTCCCACTGGTCTCTGAAACAGTCTCTCAGCACTTTTGGTGTTACTGCTTCTGGTGCTCTAAGGAAAGGACTGTTCACACTTGGTAACTACCCACCTGCAGCTCCTAGTGATTGTAACTGCTCACTGGGAGAAGCACAGGGCAGAGGGATAATGGAGAAGAAAGCAGAGACTATTACCATAGTGAGGTAAGTGTACTCTGAAGCAGTGCCCAGATTGAGCATCTTTTTCTGCTCTGTATTCATCCCCATTAGCATGCAGTAGAAGATATGATAGTTCCTCTCCTCTGGAGCCTAAAAAAAAGAGAAATAGGCCAATGGACAGCTTTGTGAGCATAAGCTTGTACCAGGCAGGCAAAGTGTACACCTGGCAGTGCCCTCACCTGCCGGCAAACCCGGGACTTCTCCAGGAGAAACTGCTCTATCCGAGCTCCTTCTATCACACCATTCTGGTTGAAGTGGATATCAATGTATTTCCCAAAGCGGCTGGAATTGTCATTTCGAATTGTCTTGGCATTTCCAAAAGCTGATGGGCAAGGGACAGAGATAGTATCTGGATTACTGCAGTTAATGAACATCAAGTCTATTTTTTTATGCCCTTCTTTTTGGCTGCTGGTATTTCACACGTTGTGTTCCAAATGGCAGTGGGACAGGCACTAGGGAATGACTGGTCTCAGGCTGAAGAGAGAGGCAGGCATACTGGGCATCCAGATAATTAGGTGCTAAAAAAACATTTCCAGATGATCCAAATGTGGTTCTTTATTTGGCCAAGAGAGCTGGGAAAGTCTGAAGACCTCCAGAAGGATTTACTGGGACACATTTTATCCTTCTCCAGAGCAAGACAGGTGTCTCAGGGAGCTCCCTTATAGATATGTTCATGCTTGGCCAGTCACTTTGCCACTATCTAGGGCAAATGCTAAACCAGGGGTCTTTACCTTGGGCTCTGCACTGCCAAGGAATCTTGTGCTCCCAGCAGATCTGGGTTGCAAACTATAGTGGCACCTCCTCCTACAGTGTGGGAGCTGCTGTGGGTTTCATGGGGACGTGGCAGAAAGGTACAGAGAACTACTGCTCTGCATCACCAGTGCTGCAAGGGTTTAGCAGTTATGCAGATAAAATGGTTCAAATGTCTGTTTCTCATTATTTTTATTCTGATACAAAAATCCTGAGATAAATGTGGTGAATTGAGCATGTTTGCTAAATAACCCACCTTCCAGAATGGGGTTGGCCTCTAGGATTTGCTGCTCTATCCAGGAATGTTGGCCACTGACAGCTGCCAAAAACTGTAGTATTAGCTTTGTGCTTTCAGTCTTCCCAGCTCCAGATTCTCCACTGCAGTAAGAAACAAGAGCATTACAGGTTTCCTTTCTCTTTCTCAGCTAGGGTGGCAAAATGGCAGATCAAGTTTAAAAACAAAAAAATCTCACATATTTACTCTGAGTGATAGATCAGACTGTCTTTCATGTGGGGACAGAGAATTTTAGTCTTTCATCATCTTACCTGCTACAACTTAAGTTGTTTTTTTAGACTTAGGCTGAGGACTAAATTCTCCCACCAACTGAACCCAAGAAAATCCATGGAAGAATTTCTGTACCAGTGCAAATGAAATGAGCACTTGCTTTTGTTTAATGCATTATAAGCTTGTCAGTGCTAGTCCTAGCACATCAACTGAGTTGCCTCAGCTATAATCAGATATTATTGCAATGAGACTTTCTGGTTCTTCACACTGATATCAAACAGAAAATGGATTGTTTATAGGATGAAAAAAGCTCCCCTCCATCCTCATGTTAGCAGAGGTTATTTCTCTTGAGAAAATGTCTAGTCTCAGAAAATACATGTAACGTGATTCTGGGAGGAAGCAATGGACTTCAGAAACTCCTTGTTTGTGTTCTGCCTTTTGCAGCCCTAACTGAAAATGGAGTATCAGGGGAGAAAACATTTCCTTCCTGTTGTCTCATCTATGCCCTCCCATTTGGAAAGTCTCCTGTGTCCCCAAAACTATGCTAAGCTTGAGTTCTGCTACTCGCCCTCTCCTGGTCCAGTCACCTGATCACGCAGCACTGGTCTCTCTTATTCCTCTTCATGTTGAAATAGCAGTTGTCTGCAATGGCAAAGACATGAGGTGGAAGCTCTCCAATCCTCTTGTTACAGTACAGTCTGATCTGATCCACTGTGTAGAGGGGCAGCAGCTGGTATGGATTCACTGCTACCAGGATCGATCCTGTGTAAGTCTGGAAAACAGTTATGAGTGCCACCTCTAGCAGCAAACCTGCAAATTAGAATATAACCAAAGCCACTTGCAGTATAAATCTAAACAGAGGGAGGAGGGAAGCCTGGGAGGTCATAGGAGCACTTAGGTGAGGCTGAGAGCCCAGTTCCTCCCTATAAACTGCTGAACATCCCAGGATATGAAGGTTTTTGCCTAAGGAGGAATGTTAGTTATAATTTCCTTGCCAAATCACAGCTGAGTTCTCTGTCTCAAGCTAAATCACAGGAAAGTCCAATTTGACCTGGAATTTTTGTGTTATCGTTAGCTTTTTTGCAGTTGTTTTGTTAAGCTGCTTTTGTGTTCTAGGGCAGATGTAGCTGAAGTTTGCTAATGGGCAAAGTTATGGTTGTGTTATTCATACAGTCATTTGTAAACAGCAGCACCATTGAAATGAAGGAGGCTGATGAAGGCTCTGGAAATCCAAGGCAGTAATGTTTTTCAAGAACTACCTAAGACAGCTGCAGACTGCTGGAGTCTGATATAACATGTCTTGGTACATAACAGGTCTTGGTGCACCTTGGTAGTTATAACTGCAGCATCTATCAAATCAGTCCTTGTTTACACTACCACCTGTGTTGTAAGAGGCAGCTCCTCTCCTGTGTTGTATATAGCATAGGAGACAAAGGATGGAAAAGCCTGATCCTCTGTCACAGCAGCACAAACAGCAACATGGGCTGGATTTAGCTCCCTGTCAGAGGCTGGTGGAAATGAACACTCTAGGAGAAAGTAAGCAAGGTCACTACCCTGCACTGTGCCTGCAAATTCTGCTGTTAGCTCTCTTCTTCACAGCCAAAGCACTCAAATGAAAGGAGAGAAAAACTGTCTTGTGTCCCTTGGCACCCTCAATCAGTAAAGGAAGCAGAGGGTCCTATGTGGGAAAGGCTCACAGGCTGCTCAGGTCACTTGCTAAGTGTGTAGGTTGTTCCTGAAAGTGAGCTGGCCCAGTGGCCTTGGCACTCACGTAAATTTTGTGCTCCTGGTGTCGGATGAAGAGGTTGTGCACCATGCCAGCCTCGTGGAGATCCCCCAGGCGGATCATGTCCTCCACCCCGTGGACAGAGGACGGGTGCATCGGGCGCACCACGTGCATGTTCCGCGCTGTGATCCAGTGCTCCTGCAAAAGACAAGGCCCTGACTTTACTGTGTGGTGCTGTGGCTCAGAGGCAAGTGAAGGAGAACTGGTGAGACCAGAGGAAGCTTCAGTGTCATGTTCTAACAGACAGGTGACCGAACAACAGAAGTTAACTGGTTTGGTGCTCCCCAGGATTTGAAACACTGAATGAAGCTGTTCAAGTGGGCTCTGGTTATCACTGAATTTAAGACTGTTCAGAGTGCAGCTCTGTCAGGTCATCACAGCTACAACATTGTATGGGACCCCCAGCTGACTTTAGCAGGATCACTTTTTCACCTAAAGCCTTACCAAATTTAGGAATTGGAGCCTGTCCATGTCCTTCTTAACTATGCAGATACAACCTCTACCTCAGAAGCTCTGAATCTTCATAGGGCCTGGGGAGGTCAGAGCATCACCCTATGCTTGACTGACTTTTATATTATTTCTTTCAGTATACCCTGCCAGACATTATCAGAGTCAGACCACCTGGCTAGATGGGGCTTTGGTCTGACTCAGCAGGGCCATTCTTTTGTCACTGGTACTTTTAAATGTTATGTTCATTTTTTACAGAAGTTTATCATAGAATCATAGAACTTAGGGGTTGGAATGGACCTCACAGATCATCCAACCCCAACCCTCTGCCCTGGGCAGGGACAACTCCTCACTAGATCAGGTTGCTCAAGGCTTCAGTTATAGCATAGCCCACCTTGCCTTCATCATCCTCCAGCAAGATCCGTCCTGAGTCAGATTCCTTCACTACTGCCCCAATAGGGACATTAAATTCACTGTTTGATTGAGTGTCCAGCCACACATGATCACCCTGGGAAGAAAAAAAGCTACTGTCAGGTACAGTGACATACTTGATGCCTTGTAGCTCAAAGACACAGATCTCAGTCTTCAGTTTTTAGTGATTTTGTTTCTTTAGCAGCAGGCAAACAGTCTCAGACCTTTGAGTTCTACTCCCAGCTCCACAGCTGACCTGGAACATGACTTTGGACAAGTCATCAAACACAGCTGTCTCACAAGAGGAAATGAGGCAACACCTTTTACAAGAACAGCAATCATGAAGCTTTACTACCTCCCAGAGGCTGGCAGGGGGCACAGGCAGCCTCACTGAGCTATTGTATTCTTTCATGAGAGAACATAAAACCAGGAAAAAGGGAAACAAAGAGGTGTACAGACTGGATGCCTGGAAACGTAGAGTGCTCTGTTACAAGGATTTTTATATATATTCTTCCTGCTCTGGCCCACTGACATTCTTTAGCCAGCCCAGCTCTTCACATCTGCAGGGGCTTGGCAGCATTCTGTCATTCTGCAGGGCATGCAAGAACTGCTTTGCTGTCACTGCAGGAAGCCACAGCTGCCCTTTCCCAGGAATGAGCAGCATCTTGGTGTTGCCTGTGCTAGTATCCTGGTTATATTCCCCTACTCCAGGCCCACAGGAACACCTGCTCGTGCTCCAGGCACTAGTACAGATTTGTACAGAAAGATGGAATAAAAACTGAACAAAGTTGTAGGTCAGAACTTCAATCAGCTTTCTAGCTGTGCCTTGTCCTAGACAACTTTTGTTACATACTGTAGCATTTACTGTCAAAGTTTCAATGCTTTTACTGAAGAAAATTTTTCATTTTCCTCTCCAAATACTGGGTGGGTTTACATTTAAAACCGACTAACCAGTGTCAAGCACCTGTAAATATTGTGGGAGGTTATGAAGACTGTTACAAGACTAACAGCCCTCATTTGTGTTCAGTAAAACTCCAGAGGTAATCTGTGTGACTTCAGTGCCACACCTTGTGATAGAGGTCACCTGCTCAACAAGAGCATGGCCAGGTCAGGCAAGGCTTGTCTGCTTCCCTAGTCTAGGAAAGTACCTTGTTGGTACTGGGTTACTGCTACTTTCTTTTTGAGTTAAACCATGATGTTAAGGTCATTTTCTTCTCTTTTGGCCTCAGACTAATCAGTAAATCACAGCAAAGAGTAGGACTTACCTTTCTGAAAAGCACCATTATGTTTCAGATCACTCTATGCAACCTGTAGTACCAAGAATAGAACGTTAGGCCATAAAAGGGCTTTGATCAGAACAGAACAAGGGCTTCCTTCTGGAGTTTCCTGGTAAAACATAACAGCAGCATGCCTTAAAATAATTTTGTTTCTGTATTTTGTTATAGCAGAACTGATCAATAAGCTACACCCAACGTAGAGACAATGACACCATCTACCCAAAGCAAAGAACCTGCAACACTGAGGTCTGAAAAGGATGGTCTGAGTTCTACCACATAACCCTGGAGATGCTCTCAGCCCTGAAGAGGTGACTGTGCACATTTTCTTACTAAATAGCTCCCTCAATCAAATGCTTCCTTCAACCAGATGCTAGACCCATTTACTGTGCACATTTTGTAGCACAGAACCTAGGAACATTTAGCAGTGCAACATGACTGTTTTCTTTCAGGCTGCTTGAGGGTTTTCTATCATTTTTAATCCTGTCTCAAGAAGAAACTTCGGTCTTTCTTAATCAGTTACTCTTACAGCAAAATCCTCATGTTCTTGTTCAGGACTCAGGAACTGGATCTGCATATTAACTTCAACAATGTGATGGCTTATTACTGTAAGTGATGCAGGGTGGTACAGAAGAATGGTTCTTGGCAAACATAGGCCAAAAATGGGCCACAGTCAGTGACTATCACTGACAGAGAGTTTCTCATCTGCACCAGAAACCAGAATACTGCAATAGAGCAGAAATGTCGATCCTGAGCAAAGAGGGAGTGGCACACACAGACATGGAGTCAGCCAGAGTGTGTCACAGCAAAGGGATTGCTAGCTCCAGATCCAGCCTGTGATAGCAGCCAAGGATGGACATGTAGGGAGGAGGTCCCAGATAATCCCAGGGTACATGGTTCCAGCATTTAAAATGCTTATTCCCAGTGCAGTGCCAAGTGGCCACCCCCCGAGCTGGTTTCTGATGGTGCCTGGCTCTCTGTGGCTCTTCCTCCCAAGGTAATGCAGCACCATCAACCACACTGCAGCCCACAGGATGGAAATTTACCTTTCCAGAAGAAATCTTCACTGTCTGGCTTCTGCAGCTTAGCTCCCTCTTTTTCATAAACATTGGAGTAAGAAGGAAAAGGAAGGTGCGACTGGCACTGGTGCCATTAAGGGATCCCTCACCAAGTGCTAGTTCTGCACTGCACAAAGGAGGAAATGACTGAAACAAGGTTTATTTATTACAGGACTTTGCTCCCAGTTCAGTGTATTTGTCATTCCCAAGTCAGGTGTTCCAGTAAGCATGAAGGCTAATTCTTGCCTGGGTGAACCTTAAACTTCAGTCTCTCCACTGTGCCTGTATCTTTTCATATTTCTGGAAACCACTCCCAGAAGAAAACCCTTTAGCACCTGTTGTTACAGTGCTCCAACACCACTGACTTCCCTGGGGTTCTCTTGGAGTCACCCTGTTAGATAAGAGGGAAATTAGGCCCTGATCTCTCATCTCTTCCCTTGGTTTTGCAAGAAAATGCCCCTCAGTCTGTGTCTTGTTGGTCTGTGTTTCACAGTATCTAGAGCTCAAAGCAAAAGAAACTTGTGACATCTGACTGAAATTGATACACCCATACATATAAAGGGACAAAGATCTCCAGCCAAGCACATTCCAACCCTGATGGTGAACCCAAACAGTGAGGATGAGATTTTTTTCCATCTACCTTAACCCGCTGTGTCACTTTCCTCCAGAGCACTGTGCACTATGCTGTGCACTAGTCTGTGTTGCCATTTTTAAACATGCAGATGAAAATGTGCAATGATTGTGACCATGTGAACATCTGCTAATATAACTAATACCTTAATTCTTATTTTCTTGTTTCCTAGGTCCAATGTGGCTGCACTGTATGATGAGAAAGACAACAAAAAGCCTCTGTGTCAGAGACAGATTCCTGGGGCTCCTGCTGTGGTTCCATATTCAAATCAGAGATAAACATTCAAACATGGCAATACATGGGAGTAACATGTGTTTGTCCATGTTACATATTTGTGTTTCAATGTTAACCTCCTTACCTGAGGGTTTTCTGTAAGTTTTACAGCAGCAGTAAAGATACAGATGCATAAATAGAGCATAGGTCCTTCAGGGCTTGGAGACTTTTAGAGAGAGACAGAAAGCCACAAGGCAGAGAGGGAAGTTTTCTTCAAGTTTCTAACTGTGCAAATCATTCTTACGCAAAGATTTTGCCTCAAAGTAGTTCTTCAGCAGACTTACTTCTGAGACAATTTTAGAAGTTTATCTGCTGTACTGATCAACAATACTTCAAGTACTGATTTTTTGAGGAGAACATCACATATTGGCAAATAAATCAGAGTACATAGCTTTATACTACCAAGGCAGATATCTAAACCCACAGCTGTTTGTGTAATTAGACTGCAGGGAAAAAAAAGTGCCATGCATATTCCCTCAGCAAGCAAAACATACCTGCTGACATTCCAAATGGAAGCTGTTTCAGGGCAGAGACTTACTCTGAAAATATCTACATTGTTAACATTTGTGCCCAAGACACAGTGGGTGTGCTATTTCAGAGGGAAGTACAGGATTTGTGTCCTAGTGCAGTACAGAAGCTGTATAAGATGGAAACATAGGGAAATTGAGATAGTCTGAAAGAGAAGCACAGCTCATTGCATGGCTGAAATACATATTGGCAGACAGATTGATTTCCACTGTTAAGCTTAGACATATTCAAGAGCCAGAAAACAAAAAGCTGAAGGAGACTTGATAGACCAAGGGGAAGCAGCCTAGATGCTTTGTGCAGCACATGGACCTGATGAGAGGTGAGCAGGTGTCTGGCTAAGGCTGCCTTCAGGGAAGGGCCTGGGAGTGACAGGGGCAGCACAGGATTGAGCAGCCACTGAGCTGTGTGGATGGGGAAAGGCCAGGAGAGGAGCTTGCCAGGAGAGAGCAACTCGTGTACTGCTGCAGACAGTTTGGTACAGGGCACAGAAACATTTGGAGTGGTAATTGGGGGTAATTTGTAGCATGGTCTATGCTGGTTAATTACTGTAATTGTTCTTGTATGCAAATTGCTGAAGGTGAAGACTGTGAAGTCATAGCTTAAGTAATAAAACTGAAAAAAATGATTAAATGCTGAATTTTATCCTGCTGTTGTGCAAAGCAATAGGTCTGTCCGGATAGACATGTGTTAACAAAACTGCCTCTTCCTGACAGCCTCCTGCTTAAGAGATTGATGTCAGGATAAAAGGGTTTTAATTTGCACATGGCATTACCTTTCACATTTCCTCTCCAGCTAAATCAAAGTGGCCTTGTCATTTCTGCAGCACCAAGACCTAGATGACAAACAATAATTTTATGTTAAACTAGTTATTTTCCTGAGGTTTCCAAAGGGAGGTAGATTGGATGTAACAATTTGCAATTTAAACTGTTCCTACAGCAGCCCTCCTGCCTACACTAACCTCCTTCCCTTGCTCTAAGCAGATTTGTAGCTCTAAGTCACTGATGTCTGTTAACTCTGAAAGGCACAGTGCAGGCAACAAAGCAAACTAATTAAGAAGTACATACCTGTAAAGGATTTCCAAGTGCATCCCTTGGTTTTCTTGAGCATTCTGTCCCTCATGGAAAGGCTTATTTCATTGCAGCCAGTTCATGATGCTGCACAGAGAGGCAGACTGGTGGGGCTCTGGGATCTCTGTCATTACACACCTTCACACGCGCCAAGTGGGCACTGCTTATGCTGCTTGGTAGAAGACAGGTCATTCTTCCCCACTGTGCAATCCCATTATGGTCTGACTGTCACTCCATCCTTCCTTTTGGGAAGCAGCCAAGATGGTATTACAAGAGTATATTACAGGCTGGGATCTGCCAAGCTGATGAGGGACAAAGGCATGTGAGTGTGCACAGCAGTGCACACACATGTTCCCTGCAGGATGGGTGTCAGGAGCCATGCCCAGTTACTCAGCATTGCTGAGCTCGGGTATCTTCAGACAGAACTGCCACCTCTCCTGTGTGATGCACGTGTCTCAGC